GTAACCACTCATGAAATGATGCTTGCAACTTCATCCACTACTTCAACCGTGCAAATATTTACTTTTGAATCTCCAAATGGTCTTGACTCAAACGAATCAGCTTGTTACACATGAATTGATGGTTGAACCTAGCCTATCCAAATTTGTAGATGAAGTATGAATGTTTGTTGAATCTTCTTGGTCTTGGGTTGTGTAATAGGTCCAGTTGGAACACCGTGATTCTTATCATCATCCCCCTCTTCAAAAGGATTCGTCCTCGAATCAGAAAAATCATCACCTACATCAAAAGGACTCAACTCAGCAACATTGAAAGTAGAATGTACACTGTGATTCTTATCATCATCCCCCTCTTCAGGATTCGTCCTCGAATCAGAAAAATCATCACCTACATCAAAAGAACTCAATTTAGCAACATTGAAAGTAGAATGTATTGACAATTCTAAAGGAACATCAATTTTTAAAAAAGTACTCCACACAAAATGTTACCCTATAGAGTACTAAACATCTTTCAGACCCGCCATTACACACAAAAACACAAACATACTAATTCCATAAAATATACACTTTTCTAAACACCAACTGAAACTCAAATCACACTACTCAAATAACAACTAGGTACACACTTACACAAACTCCGTAAATTCCCATCCAGAATCAGGACCACTACAAGGACACTCACTGAACGTATATTGCGTTTTACTCTCTCAATGCCAAAAGACATAAAAATACACCCATAATCAGGTTCTAAACACGGACACTCAATGATATCTCACTATTCTAACTAACAATAACGGCTAACTCAAACCAATTTATACCCTACTCCTTAACCTTCTGACACCGATGGTTTTGATGTGTGATCATCGTTGACCGGACCCTCCTTTACGGTTAGGCACCCTCCACTGTGCACACAACGAAGGCGTAGTGGCAATTCCTTCGGTTTCTGCTGTGATAAGGCCAGCAGCGCGGCGTAGAGATACGGAGGTTTAACGTTAGACTGTGAATAGGCTACTACCTGACTCCTATCGCGGGTTGTTAGTCTTCCCTTCGGATGTGATGGTTTTCGTAGTTGTTAACATAATATCCGAAGTAGAACAATCTGTAGGGCTCCATCCACTGAGTGCCAATGCCGAAGGCGTAGTGGCATTTCCTTCGGTGACTGCATTATGCTGGTGCAGGGCGAGTGGGTAAATAGCTTCTTAAGTCTTGCATCTTGAGCTTTTTGACCTTTGACTGTCGAATCGCTATTTTCGTGTAAGTTATCGTCTAAGTCTTGCATCTTGAGCTTTTTGACCTTTGACTGTCGAATCGCTATTTTCGTGTAAGTTATCGTCTTATCCTACATGGGATGCGAATGACACTTGGAAATTTCCTATCGCTATTTTCGTGTAAGTTATCGTCTTATCCTACATGGGATGCGAATGACACTTGGAAATTTCCTATGTGTCTTCGACTTTACCTTCCCATGGATGATAATGATAATAACAAGCGTGATATAGCACACAATCTTCCTATTAAGTCTTGCTGTACCTGACCGTATCTTGTTTTTATCATAGCAAATTGTGTTCTTTTTGTATAGGAGAAAAAGTACTCCACACAAAATGTTACCCTATAGAGTACTAAACATCTTTCAGACCCGCCATTACACACAAAAACACAAACATACTAATTCCATAAAATATACACTTTTCTAAACACCAACTGAAACTCAAATCACACTACTCAAATAACAACTAGGTACACACTTACACAAACTCCGTAAATTCCCATCCAGAATCAGGACCACTACAAGGACACTCACTGAACGTATATTGCGTTTTACTCTCTCAATGCCAAAAGACATAAAAATACACCCATAATCAGGTTCTAAACACGGACACTCAATGATATCTCACTATTCTAACTAACAATACCCGCTAACGAAAACCAATTTATACCTTCTGAAAAAAGCACTCCACTTATCTCAGCGCAAAAGCCCAATATTATAAAAACAAAATAACACAATGTATCAAAAACAAACAAATAAATGGATTTTAGCATCTTTGAATTCTAAGCAAAAAGATTCACAAGAGCTAATCGTGTTTTTAAATCAGTTTTATGCCTCTTTGGAGGAGCAAAATAAATTTCTATTACCGGGAAGAGGTTAAGACGACTAGATCACAATTGTATAAACAGTCAGTATTTAATCTTATGGATGAATATAAATCGAAGTTTCCTTTAGCAGAAATTGAATTACGTCAGCTCCAACAGAAAATAGAAGATTACAGTATGAAGTTCGACGAGAGTGCAATATATAATACTGTTCCTAACTTGATTCAAATCTTAATACAGAAGGATAAATTGAGTGCAAAGGATTATATAATTAATAAATTAAATGATGATGATGACATAAAAATGCTTGAAGAGTTCGGTCAATATACTCTAGAGGCATTAATTATTCACGTTCTGGGAATTGTTTTTAACACATCTGAAACCGAAAGTATGGTCCATCCAGCTTCTTTAATTAATCAACTCGACTCTTCTGTCCGTACACATTCTAGGTTATTAAAATCCCACTCCTCTAAAAAGAGCATTTCTAATGTTCATATGTATGATAAAATGGAAAAGTCTAAGACGTTTTCCTTCAGTGTCTTCTTACTCGAGTTTATGGAGGAGCGGGGATTGGTAAGTTCTATTACAATGGAATCCTTTGGTAGTGTTGTTAAGAAAAAGTCGAGTGGCAATCTATTCATTGTCTGTAATTTTGATCTGACTTTACTTCCGGTCAAGCTCAACCTTCCTATGATATCCCCACCTCTTGATTAGAAGAGTGCGTGTCCGCCGAATCAATCTCCTAGATATCTCTCTGATCTATCAGGGGGGTACCTAAGTGCACCGACTGGTGAGATTTATGATCGTTACCGCTTATTAAGTTCGGGTGACCTAAATCACTTTTATATATATATAGGGAATTCTTCAGATTATAAGAATGATTACAAGTCTCTGTGTAAAGTCATGAATGCCCTCCAGCGTCAGCCCTTTACAATCAACAGTGATTGGTTGAAACATTTAATGGAAAATGAAGAACAGTTTGTTGACGATGGTCTTCTTATGCCACAATTTCTGCAAACGATAAATATACGAGATGTTAGCCCCGTTCTTAGAGATTTCCACATGAAGGATGAGGTGATAAACAATCAATTTCCCTTTAACGATTTGTTAAATACTGTGATGAAGACTATCCAGCGTTCTCGCTATGAACGATTGATTCTCAATCTCGCAATAGTCTACGATGGCTATAAATTTTACCTACCCGCCTTTCTTGACTTCAGAGGGAGAATTTATCGCTGTGGTATTTTGCATTTCCACGAGTGTGATCTTGCACGAAGCCTGATTGTCTTTGCGGATCATAATCATCAGAAGGAGGAGATAAAGTGTAATTCTTCTATAAGAGATCAAATTTTATTATCAACATTCTTCCATTTTCAGTCTTTCAACTCAATGGTTGAAGCAGTGGATTTTATCAACAATAACAAAGATAATCAAAACATAACGTTGGCTAAACGCCCTTTTCAGTTTGCAGCCAATATTTATGCAATGCAAAATCACAAATTGAAGTTTTTAAAAGACTTTGTCCCTATTACACAGGACGCTGCATCAAGTGCATATCAGATTATGAGTTACTTTTTATTGGATGAGAGCCTGGCAGAGAGAACTAATCTCTTCCTATCCACGGATAATCCAAATCAAATCCAAGATGTTTATTTGTACTTCCTCGCTGAGCTCAAGGAGTTCATGGAAGCAGAACCAGAATTTGATCGAAATTTATGTTCGGTTGTTTGCAAACACCTCTCTCGTAAGATTGTTAAATCAATCTTTATGCCAATTATCTATGGAAAAACTGTAATGAGCACATCAATCGATCTCATGGTACATTTCTCTCAACACCTTACGAATAAGGAATGCTACAAAGTAGCCTCTGTCAGCTTTAAGTTCTTCAAAGAAAAATATCCTGGAATGGAATGCCTGATCAGGTTGATACGCCTTATAGGCTGGGTCGCGTCTTCTAGGGATAGTGCCGTTAAATATAATGTTAGTTACTTTACAAGTGTTCAGGATTATATGAAAAATGAGTCAACTTATATATGGGTATATGACCGACATAGGAAGAGGCGGCAGGTTACTTTCCGAGTGTCTTCAGATAAGAGAGATCGTAGGAAGATAGAGATCTCTACCTTCGTCAATTTCATCCATCAGAAGGATGCCTTTATTGCTATGAAAGTAGTTGAAAAAATGCTGAATTATAATGCTCCTATATACACGGTCCACGACAACTTTATAACCACTGTTGAGAAAAGCCCATTTATTCCAATGGCTTATCTTGAAGTCTTTCGTAGCTTGGGCCCTCCACTTTCAATCATTAACAAGTTCATCTATATAAATGTTATTGAGAATCTTAAATGTGGAGATTCATTCGATTATGAAAAGAATGTTATTTCCAGTAAATATCTTACAGAATTTTTAATTCAAAATATTCCAGAGAATATAAGTAAGCAGAACCAGATTCTTTGGGATAAAAAGATAAATGAAATTGTCATTTGTTACAGTGAATAAAGTGTGCGGTGTAAATAATAATAGTGATTATGAATCACATGAGGAAAAGTGGAATCAATTTTCATATAAATTGATGAATTCTTTAATAGTGATTATGAATCACATGAGGAAAAGTGGAATCAATTTTCATATAAATTGATGAATTCTTTCTGCGTACATTACTGATAATGAAAATGAAAATGAAAATGATGGCGTACAAAAATTCAACTCTTAATACTAATAAACAGTTTTCTACTCTTAATACTACACTGTTTTCGTCAATTAATACACAATAGTTATTGAATCGCTTATTTCAAAAGATAGAACGAATAGCATACCATGAACCTTATCCTAGTTTAATAATAGCATCATATTACTTCAATGAGCCTTATCCTCTTGTTAACGAGATTTCGCTACTTAGTCTTACAACCATGGATATCTTAAACCAGTTTGCGTACTCTTCCTTATCTGGTTACGGGAAGTTCACAATTTCCTTAACCATGAAGCGCTCTTTCGGGGAGGAGATCACATTTACGCTTGGTCAGGCTATACCCCTCTCTTATATGGATTCAAATTTAATTCCAAAAAGTAATGTTTATGCTCATATATCTCGATATATTCAGAAATATGCTGAAGTCTACGACGGCGATTATATAGTTCGACTCATGATCAGAGTCTATATGGACAGCAAAAAGAAGGCGGAGGATAGGCCTTCTCCCTCTGAGGAGGAGAGATATAACACACTTTCTTCAATCATTGAAGGGAAATTGAGTGAGATGAAGGAGCCTATTACTGCAAGAAAGATCAAACATGGTAGGCATCGTAGCTATCCAACCCATATCACAACACTCAAACCATCTAGGCGAAAGCTGAAATCATTCATGGTTGCGATATCGAGACACTATATCTTGATGACATTCATAAGCCTTATGCTGCTGGTCTAATGATGGTTAGTCCTCATGATAAGATAAATAATAGTATGATTTCTCACTACTTCAGTGAAGACTACTCTATAATCTTGGATTCCTTTGAAGACAGGAGTACAAAAGTACTTTATGACTTAGTATTAAAGATATTAACTATTGTTAAAAGAGCTAAATCAACTTTAACTATTTACTTCCACAACTTCTCTAGATTCGATGGATTCTCTTGCTTAAGCACCTAGCATATCATCACAAGAGCTTGAAGCTTAAACCACTGATGAGGAACAATAGGCTTTACGAGTTAGCTGTCTATCGCGGTAAGAAGATGTTATTCCGCTTCAGAGACTCCTTGAATCTACTCCCTGGCAAACTGAGCTCCCTTGGGAACAATCTTTGCCCAGATCTTGGACCAAAAGGCTCAATCTCAATCCCATATGACAAACTGAAAGTAGAGGATCTGGTTAATAATCAGAGGAAATTGTTGGATTATATGAAACAGGATATTCGTCTATTGGGTGGAGTAATGCAAAAAGCCCAAAAGATATATTGGGAGGTGTACAAGGTGGACATTGAAAAGAGGATAACCCTTTCCTCACTTGCTCTTAGCATCTTTCGTTTAAAATACTACGATGTATCTAATTTTCCAATACACATCCCAAACAAGAATGAAGACACCTTCATAAGGCGTGCCTACTACGGAGGTCATGCGGATACATACAAGCCATATGGTGAGGACCTCTACTACTACGATGTGAACTCTCTCTATCCCTTTGTAATGAAGGAATTTCCAATGCCGGGTGGTGAACCTGTCTGGCATTCGAATCTGGAAAGCCAGAACTTAGATAGCATGTTTGGTTTTATTGAGGCATATGTGGTATGTCCGAAGACTATCAAAAAGCCCTTTCTTCCCTATCGGGACAAGAATAACACTCTCCTCTTTCCAACCGGAGAATTTGTTGGAGTGTACTATACCGAGGAATTAAAGTATGCTAGAGACCTAAGCTACACTGTCCTCCCAATCTCGGGCTACCTCTTTAAGAAGATGGAAAGCCCATTCAATAGCTTTGTTAGCTCACTCTTTGAGAGCAGGTTAGAAGCGAAGAAATCAGGTAATGAAGCTATGTCCTATGTTTACAAGATACTAATGAATTCCCTATACGGAAGATTTGGTATTAACCCTAAAAGCACGACCACCGAGGTCTGCGATGAATATCGATACAAAAATTTAATCAGGAATAGTGAGTTGATATTCGGCGATATGCTTAGCAAAAATACCTACATCGTTGCCTACCATAGCAATATCGATAAGGGTGATGATTATTGGAATCCACCGAAGAACTCCGCTGTCCAACTAGCTGCTGCGATAACAGCCTCCGCTAGGATCCATATGTATCCTTATATCTCAAGAGAGGACTGCTACTATACTGACACTGACTCAGTTGTGCTTGGTCACCCACTACCTAATGAAGAGATTTCTTCTTCTGTCTTGGGCAAGTTTAAGCTAGAGGACAGAATAATAAAAGGATACTTTTTAGCACCGAAATCCTATTTCTACAGCTCAATAGAAGGGCAAAATGTACTCAAGTACAAGGGACCAGCGAAAAATCTGGTCATGCCGGAATGGTTTGAGAAACAGTACAAAAACCCATCTCATACGGAACAGGTATCGGTTGAATCCAAATTCCGAATTGATTGGCATACTCTGAACATCTTCAAGAAAGACAGCCTGGTCACGCTCGGCCTTAAGCTGGGTCACAAGAGGATATCAGTATATGAAAAAGATGTCTGGGTTGATACAGACCCAATTAATATAAAAGACTTGTCTTCCCTAGATCACATTGGAAAATCAATTATCGAATTTCTAAGGTATGAGTTAATACAACTACAGATAGAAAATAAGACTCTAAATGATAAATTAAATCGGAGAGAAAGTGAGATTTCCAAGAGATACAAAGAGATTAAATCACAGTTAGATGATGTTCAATTGATTGAACCATAGAACAAGGGTTATAGAACCGGAACTGAGTGAGATAGCAGCGGCGAATCTGTCTTATGGAGTGGTGTACAGCACCGATTCATGCTTTTGGAGTGGCGTATCCTCTTGTTGGAGTGGCACCCCTTCGGTCTTTTTGGTGTGGCGGATTCTCGGTTATCTGTGTAATCTACATTGTTAATTACCCACAATTCCAATTACCGGGAGACAGGAAAATGAAATCGGAGCATCCTATTTTATCAAGGGAGATTTGACCATGAAAGACTATTACTCACAAAACCTCATTCCCAGAGGGTTTTTGCCCCATCCTATTTTGTCAAGGGGGATTTAGTGGCATTTCCTTCGGTAACTGCATGCTTTGCTGGTGCAGGGCGAGTAAGACTTCTGTGGTTCGTATTACGTCGACTTAAGACACATACTTTAATCCCTCCTTATTTGTTCGCTAACACTCGTTATCAGGCTGCTGGACACTAGTACAATCGAATCGCTATTTTAGTGTAAGTTATCGTCTTATCCTACATTGGATGCGAATGACACTACCTATTACCCCACTAAACCCTCCTTTGGTCTATCGAGTTTTAGGCCCACAAAGACAATTACCCACAAATCATCTGACCCTGAATAGGAAAGAAAGAAAGAGGCTTTCCTTACAAAACAAATATTAATACATAATAAAATATGGGGAAAGCCTCTTTCTTTCTTTCTTTCCTATTCAGGGTCAGATGTTTTGTGGGTAATTGTCTTTGTGGGCCTAAAACTCGATAGACCAAAGGATGGTTTAGTGGGGTAATAAGTAGTGTCATTCGCATCCAATGTAGGATAAGACGATAACTTACACTAAAATAGCGATTCGATTGTACTAGTGTCCAGCAGCCTGATAACGAGTGTTAGCGAACGAATAAGGAGGGATTAAAGTATGTGTCTTAAGTCGACGTAATACGAACCACAGAAGCCTTACTCGCCCTGCACCAGCAAAGCATGCAGTTACCGAAGGAAATGCCACTAAATCCCCCTTGACAAAATAGGATGGGGCAAAAACCCTCTGGGAATGAGGTTTTGTGAGTAATAGTCTTTCATGGTCAAATCTCCCTTGATAAAATAGGATGCTCCGATTTCATTTTCCTGTCTCCCGGTAATTGGAATTGTGGGTAATTAACAATGTAGATTACACAGATAACCGAGAATCCGCCACACCAAAAAGACCGAAGGGGTGCCACTCCAACAAGAGGATACGCCACTCCAAAAGCATGAATCGGTGCTGTACACCACTCCATAAGACAGATTCGCCGCTGCTATCTCACTCAGTTCCGGTTCTATAACCCTTGTTCTATGGTTCAATCAATTGAACATCATCTAACTGTGATTTAATCTCTTTGTATCTCTTGGAAATCTCACTTTCTCTCCGATTTAATTTATCATTTAGAGTCTTATTTTCTATCTGTAGTTGTATTAACTCATACCTTAGAAATTCGATAATTGATTTTCCAATGTGATCTAGGGAAGACAAGTCTTTTATATTAATTGGGTCTGTATCAATCCAGACATCTTTTTCATATACTGATATCCTCTTGTGACCCAGCTTAAGGCCGAGCGTGACCAGGCTTTCTTTCTTAAAGATGTTCAGAGTATGCCAATCAATTCAGAATTTGGATTCAACCGATACCTGTTCCGTATGAGATGGGTTTTTGTACTGTTTCTCAAACCATTCCGGCATGACCAGGTTTTTCGCTGGTCCCTTGTACTTGAGTACATTTTGCCCTTCTATTGAGCTGTAGAAATAGGATTTCGGTGCTAAAAAGTATCCTTTTATTATTCTGTCCTCTAGCTTAAACTTGCCCAAGACAGAAGAAGAAATCTCTTCATTAGGTAGAGGGTGACCAAGCACAACTGAGTCAGTGTCAGTATAGTAGCAGTCCTCTCTTGAGATATAAGGATACATATGGATCCTAGCGGAGGCTGTTATCGTAGCAGCTAGTTGGACAGCGGAGTTCTTCGGTGGATTCCAATAATCATCGCCCTTATCGGTATTGCTATGGTAGGCAACGATGTAGGTATTTTCGCTAAGCATATCGCCGAATATCAACTCACTATTCCTGATTAAATTTTTGTATCGATATTCATCGCAGACCTCGGTGGTCGTGCTTTTAGGGTTAATACCAAATCTTCCGTATAGGGAATTCATTAGTATCTTGTAAACATAGGACATAGCTTCATTACCTGATTTCTTCGCTTCTAACCTGCTCTCAAAGAGTGAGCTAACAAAGCTATTGAAGGGCTTTCCATCTTCTTAAAGAGGTAGCCCGAGATTGGGAGGACAGTGTAGCCTAGGTCTCTAGCATACTTTAATTCCTCGATATAGTACACTCCAACAAATTCTCCGGTTGGAAAGAGGAGAGTGTTATTCTTGTCCCGATAGGGAAGAAAGGGCTTTTTGATAGTCTTCGAACATACCACATATGCCTCAATAAAACCAAACATGCTATCTAAGTTCTGGCTTTCCAGATTCGAATGCCAGACAGGATCACCACCCGGCATTGGAAATTCCTTCATTACAAAGGGATAGAGAGAGTTCACATCGTAGTAGTAGAGGTCCTCACCATATGGCTTTTATGTATCCGCATGACCTCCGTAGTAGGCACGCCTTATGAAGGTGTCTTCATTCTTGTTTGGGATGTGTATTGGAAAATTAGATACATCGTAGTATTTTAAACGAAAGATGCTAAGAGCAAGTGAGGAAAGGGTTATCCTCTTTTCAATGTCCACCTTGTACACCTNAAGAAGAGAAGGAGTACAGCTGGGAGCCCTAAAGTAAAGGACATCAGATTCATAACCTATTTACAGACGAAAAGAGGTGAAACAGATAGAGAGTATAAGGTTCAGCCGCAAGATTCTTTTCTATCCCTTTGTTTACGAGCGAGTAAAAGAGTGAAGTCAATCAAGAATCATACTACAGTAGGAGAATCAATCCTCAGTCTGAGTTTACAGACCCACACACACATAGAGGTTGATCGGAAAAGCTAAATCAGTAAGTTAAGGAGTTAGTTAGAAGAGAAAGATCAGTTATAGTTCACTCTCAGTCATAAGATAAGTGAAGGATTGAAAGCAAAGAGAATATCAAACAAAACAACAAAGCAAAGAACAGAGTCCAGAAGTAGTTCAACCAACCCTTTCCCTTCAGTCGTGGAGTAATCATTAAATCAAGTCAATTAATTAGCTGCTTTACTAGAAAGAGTACAAGAATGAAAGAAGGTTAAGGAAGTAATGATTGAATACTATCTACAGATTACGGAGTCTTTGAAGCGAGAAGTCATTGAGTTAAGGGGAAGAAAGAATAAGGGTTTCTTTCTTTCTCTCTCTTGTTTGTTTCTTGACTTACGAGAATTACCGAGTTACATCAGGTGACGTAGTGAAGGAACGGATACTCCTCTTTTCCTTTAGTCTTGACAATCGAGTAAAAGAGTGAATGAAAGAACTACTACTGACGGGACACTAATAGAGTCAATCAAAGGGCATAAGAAGGAATCGTAAAGAAGAAGCCAGCAAACAGTTTAGAGTTGTTAGTTAGAGCCGAAGGGCAGCGAGAGGTTATTCCCTTATTGAGTGTTTACTCTTCATTCATAAATAGGTACACAAAGCAACTCGAGAGGAAAGCTTACTACAGCCCGTGAACGAGAATGAATCTTTAGTCAGTCAGTCTTTACAGCAGGAAAAGAGTCAATTAGTTAGTTAAAGAAGCCGAGTTAAACAAAGACCTAGTCCGTATTACTAAAAGAAAGAGGTAAAGNATCTTTTGGGCTTTTTGCATTACTCCACCCAATAGACGAATATCCTGTTTCATATAATCCAACAATTCCCTCTGATTATTAACCAGATCCTCTACTTTCAAAAAAAGTACTCCACACAAAATGTTACCCTATAGAGTACTAAACATCTTTCAGACCCGCCATTACACACAAAAACACAAACATACTAATTCCATAAAATATACACTTTTCTAAACACCAACTGAAACTCAAATCACACTACTCAAATAACAACTAGGTACACACTTACATAAACTCCGTAAATTCCCATCCAGAATCAGGACCACTACAAGGACACTCACTGAACGTATATTGCGTTTTACTCTCTCAATGCCAAAAGACATAAAAATACACCCATAATCAGGTTCTAAACACGGACACTCAATGATANTCAACCAACCCTTTCCCTTCAGTCGTGGAGTAATCATTAAATCAAGTCAATTAATTAGCTGCTTTACTAGAAAGAGTACAAGAATGAAAGAAGGTTAAGGAAGTAATGATTGAATACTATCTACAGATTACAGAGTCTTTGAAGCGAGAAGTCATTGAGTTAAGGGGAAGAAAGAATAAGGGTTTCTTTCTTTCTCTCTCTTGTTTGTTTCTTGACTTACGAGAATTACCGAGTTACATCAGGTGACGTAGTGAAGGAACGGATACTCCTCTTTTCCTTTAGTCTTGACAATCGAGTAAAAGAGTGAATGAAAGAACTACTACTGACGGGACACTAATAGAGTCAATCAAAGGGCATAAGAAGGAATCGTAAAGAAGAAGCCAGCAAGCTGTTTAGAGTTGTTAGTTAGAGCCGAAGGGCAGCGAGAGGTTATTCCCTTATTGAGTGTTTACTCTTCATTCATAAATAGGTACACAAAGCAACTCGAGAGGAAAGCTTACTACAGCCCGTGAACGAGAATGAATCTTTAGTCAGTCAGTCTTTACAGCAGGAAAAGAGTCAATTAGTTAGTTAAAGAAGCCGAGTTAAACAAAGACCTAGTCCGTATTACTAAAAGAAAGAGGTAAAGAAAGAGTGAAAGTTAAAGAAAGAAAAGGAGTGAAGCCGAGTTTACTACAGGTCAATCAATCAGAGAGAGATAGAGTCAATTCATAGAATATCCTGGATTACCTTACCTTGTTTACTTTGAATTAATAACTCACAGTAAGAGAAGGGAAGGAAAAGGTCATACGAATCAGTATAAAGGTTTGTTTCGGTTGAGGAAAGAATAGTCAAAGAAAGCTAAAGCTAGCTGGGCAAGGTCAGGTAATAATCTATCTATCTATCTATTCGTGAAGGAGTTAGTTCAGTCACTTGACTTTAATTAAAGAATAGGAAGAGGGTAAAAGAAAGAAGGAGGAATGAATCTTTACTCTACCCCTTCTAAAGACAGTATAGGCTCGGTTACGGTTACAGAGTTCATTTACTCTAAAGCGCAACTAATTAATCTTTAGTTCTCACAGTCTTTCATTAATAAGCAGAAAGAGAAGGAAGTAGTTGTTCATCAGTTTACAGTTTAAGTAAGAAAGAGAGAACGAGCTCAGTCTCANATATCTCACTATTCTAACTAACAATAACGGCTAACTCAAACCAATTTATACCCTACTCCTTAACCTTTCGGGTGCGTTGTTTAACTGTTGCATCGTTGACCGGACCCTCCTTTACGGTTAGGCACCCTCCACTGTGCGCACAAGCCGAAGGCGTAGTGGCAATTCCTTCGGTTACTGCATTTATAACTATCCTCATGCAGCGTGGCGTAGAGATACTGAGGTTTGACGTTAGACAGTGAATAAGCTCCCACCTTACTCCTTACTAAGGTTGTGAAGTTGTGAACTCTGATGTGATGGTTGACGTTGTTGTTAACATATATCATCAGAGACACAATCTTTCATGTAAGGCTCCATCCACTGAGTGCCAATGCCGAAGGCGTAGTGGCATTTCCTTCGGTTACTGCTAAATCCCTTTAAGGGTGACATCTTGTAGCAAGGTGAGTGAGGAAAAAGCTTATTAAGTCTTGCTTTCTCGTGTTTTTTGACCATATAAGAAGCTCCAAAGAAGCTAAATACTCCTTATGTCTGACACTGCGCGTACCCCACCGTGATATTAAGGTTTTCGGCAATTTTTCTTTAATATCATTGGGCTCTTTGTTAAGGTTTTTGCTTACTTACTTTACAGAGATACGAACAGTTTAGTAGGGCACCATCCACTGTGCGCCAAGGCAGAAGGCTTAGTGGCATTTCCTTCGGTAACTGCATTATTGCAGGGCGAGTAAGGCTTTTGAAGGCACTAATATGTGAAATAAAAACACACAATTGGACCCCACCTTATTGAAACTCAAACACTCTATATCAGGCAGCTGGACCCTTGTTCAATCGGGATATCACAAGCTCTATCCCCTTTGAAAAGGATCCTCTATTGCTATAGAGTGTTTTCATAAAGTATTTTACCAAATAAATATTTTTTATCATAGCAAATTGTGTTCTTTTTGTATAGGAGAATTATGCCAGTTTCTGTGTAATATACATTGCTTATTACCCACAAAACCTCTTACCCGGAATAGGAAAGAAAGAGGCTTTCCTACAATAACTAATATTTTAGTCTTGACTTGTTTACGAGGAGGTGGAATAAATGGGTTACGGGTTTGCGGTTCAGTCTTTCTCTTTTCTTTACTCAAGAGGAAAGGCGGATTCTTCTTACTCTTTCTTTCAGGCTATTCCCCCGCATTCTCTCTCTCTTCTTAGGCCTTACTCTTTCAAAGCTAAAGCCGCTAACTCCTTCATTCTAGATAGAACAAAGACCGTAAACTATTATTCATACTTCTTAGTCTTTCCTCTACTCTAAAGAAAGGTTAGTTCTTCTTCAAATAGCTTGACTTTACCTCCTTCCGATCAGTAGAATATGACTAAATAAGAGAGAGGGCGGGTGAAAGATTAGTTCAAGTTCAGTCTTTATTAGTTTACTTACTGTGAATAAATAATAGATAAGGGAATCGACCTGTTTACCTCGGTCAATCCATCTTCTTTCTTCACGACAAAGAAGAGAAGGAGTACAGCTGGGAGCCCTAAAGTAAAGGACATCAGATTCATAACCTATTTACAGAGGAAAAGAGGTGAAAGAGATAGAGAGTATAAGGTTCAGCCGCAAGATTCTTTTCTATCCCTTTGTTTACGAGCGAGTAAAAGAGTGAAGTCAATCAAGAATCATACTACAGTAGGAGAATCAATCCTCAGTCTGAGTTTACAGACCCCCACACACATAGAGGTTGATCGGAAAAGCTAAATCAGTAAGTTAAGGAGTTAGTTAGAAGAGAAAGATCAGTTATAGTTCACTCTCAGTCATAAGATAAGTGAAGGATTGAAAGCAAAGAGAATATCAAACAAAACAACAAAGCAAAGAACAGAGTCCAGAAGTAGTTCAACCAACCCTTTCCCTTCAGTCGTGGAGTAATCATTAAATCAAGTC